AAAAAAAAAAAAAAAAAAAAAAAAGACGGGAGGAGACGATCCCAGAGAAGGAGACGATCCCAGAGAAGGAGACGATCCCAGGGAGACGATCCCAGAGGAGGAGACGATCCCAGGGAGACGATCCCAGAGGAGGAGACAATCCTAAGAGAGACAAGTACGTGGGGGATGATAGATCCCCACAAAAAAAAGACAACTAAAGAGAGACGATCCCAGGGGATACGATCCCAGGGGAGACGATCCCAGGGGAGACGATCCCGTAGGAGACGATCCCCCTAAGGTCGATCCCTAGGGATACGATCCCTTTATAGAGAGAGAGACACACACAAAGATAAGAGGAGACAAGAAGGGCAATATAAGAAGTATATATGTATGAAGGGAATCGATCCCGAAGAAATCGATCCCAAGAAAGTCGATCCCGATCCCAGGGAGTAGACGATCCCCAAATAGTGTACGATCCCAGATAAGGAATGGGACGATCCCAGGGAGTCGATCCCAAGGGGGGAGACAGACGATCCCAAGAAAGACAAGACGATCCCAATAGGGTGGGGGGTGGCGAAGGAAGTAAAGGAGACGATCCCAATGGAGACGATCCCCAATGGGATAAGTGTGGGGTAGACGATCCCCAACAAACGGAGAAGACTCCTCCTTCTATATTATTTACCCCCCTACTGGAGACGATCCCAGGGGAGACGATCCCAAGGGAGACGATCCCAAGGGGGAGCAGCAGCCACTATTTGTGGGGAAAAATAATAATCTGCTGCTAAATATAAATAAATAAAAGGAAGAAAATATATAAAAAAAGAAATACACATGTGTAGCAGCAGAAAGGTAGCAGTGTCAATGCTTCTGCTGCTGCTGCTGCTGCTGCTGCTGCTGCTCCCTGCCGGTGCCGACGTGATGAGTGAGACAAGGCCGTCGTGTTCGTTCTGCTGCTGCTGAGTAGCAGCAGCAGCAGCAACAAATGCAGCAAAACGTGCATAAAAAGACACACTATAAATAATTATTTTATTATTTATTAATTAATAAATACTTATTGTTATTATTTATACACAAACATAACAAGAAAAATATATATATAAGGAATATGTTTCCTTAATAAAAAAATATAGTCGTGCAGCACTACCCTATTATAATACATATATATGATGGGTAAACAAAGAAAAAGATGAATAAATACATTAAATATAATTAATTTTATTTATTTTTATATTTATTTATTTATTTTATGATGCCCTCTCGTGTATTTCGGCAAAAAGACAACATGTGCGCCTCTGCTTTTTTTTATGACGCTGTCCCACGGTGTACATGTACTATAACCGCGAATAAGACAAATAAATAAGGAAAAAAGTTCTTTTTTTCTTTATTTTTATTTAATTTAATTAAATTAAATTAATAAATTAATATATAAATATATTTATTTCTTTTCTTTATCAATTTATTCATCGTTTTATCATCATTTCTCTCTTTCTTGTGTCTGCACACATATATACAGCATAAAACAGGAATTCTTTTTTCTTTGTCTTTTCTGCGTTTTTCTTCTTTTTTCTCCCTTTTAAGGGAATAAATTAAGTAATTTAATCCTTTATTTGTTTATAATGGCTGTCTGTTGTCTATTTGAGTGTTAATAGGAGAAAATAGGGAAGAAAAAGAAGAGCATAGTACCTCCCTATACACCTGAATTGTCTATTTAATACAATAAAAAAAACATATAAGACAAGAAAATAAATAAAAAAATAAATAATTTATTTATTTATTTATTTATATATTAATTATTTACTATATTTATATATATATATATATAAATATATATTTATATAATAATTAAATAATATATAATATTCTCCTTAATAAGACTTAATAATTATATAAAAAGACACAAAAAAATATTATTTTTATTCATTGCATGCAATAAATTCTTTTTTTTTATTTTTTTGGGGCTTTTTATTGCATGCAATTAAGTGCATGCACTGTATATAAGAAAAAAGAAGAAAAAGAGTAATTAAATGGATAACAGTAACAATGAATATATATATAAAAAAAGAATTAAATAAATTAAATAAATTAAATAAATTAAATAAATAAATAAATTAATTAATAAAAAAAAAAAGATAAAAAAGCGTGCATATATGTGTATATATATTTATATGTATATGTATATGTATACACATATATATTTACGTATATATACATATACATATTTATATACATATATACATTGTATACATATATACGTATATATATAGATATATGTATATATACGTACATATACATATATATGTATATAATATATTATATATATTTATATACCTGTAATAATATGTATATAATGTACATATTATACACATATATATAATGTACATATATAATATATATATATATATATAAATATATATATTATATACGTGTATATATACATATATATGCATATACACCTAAATATACATATATATTTCTTTATATATAATAAATAGTATAAAAAGGAGAAAATAATAATAATGAATTACTAACCAGTAATTAATTAATTAATTTATTTGTTTATATACTTATTTATATTATATTTACTTATACATAAATAAAACAAAATAAATAAATAATAAATAAAAGAAAAAGAAGGAAAAAAAAAGAAAATGTATCCCTGCTAGTACACTAGACTATTACCAATAAATAATAAATAAATAAATAAATTAATTAATAAACTAATAAATAAATTAATAATTTGCCGGGATTCGAACCCGGGTCGCACGACCGATAGAGGAGCACCTCAAACATCTTAACTAATACCAACACAATTATTTTTTTTTTTTTTTTTTTTTTTTTTTT